CTCCAGCACCACAATTCAAAAGCATCAATTCTTCAGCAGTCAGCCTTCTTTATGGTCCAGCTCCTGCTTCCATACATCACTACTGGAAAACCATAGCTATGCAGATGTTTGTCGGCAAAGTGATGTCTGTGCTATTTAAGATGTTGTCTAGGTTTGTCATCACTTTCCTCCCAAGAAGCAGGCCTCTTTTTAATTTTGTGGCTGCTGTCACCATCTGCAGTGATCATGGAGCCCAAGAAAGTAAAATCTGTCACTACCTCCATATCTTCTCCTTCTGTTTACCAGGAGGTGATGGGACCAGTGGCCACGATCTTATTTTTTTTAATTTATACAAATAAATGTTTTAATGTTTCATAAATTCTGTTTAACGAAGTGTGAAGAACTCTTTGAAAATCTTTTATTGTCAAGGCAGATCATTTTGCTTTCTTTTTTCAGACCTTTTGCCAACATATAAGAGCCCTTACTGTTTTAGTTAAATGTGGGACTTTGGAATTTTATCAATATCTGTAGCAAACAACTCTGCTGCTACTTTTGTAAGATTGGAGAATGTTTCTCTATATTCTGTTTATTTATGATTCTCTGACAGCTGAAACATGTTGATGCAGTTTATCTCTAATTTTTTTCTTTTTTCCTTTTCAACCTATGTTTCCTCCTGAATGAAAAAAAACCCCTCATAGAACTCATTTCAACATTTCTTATAGCAAGCCATTTGAAATACCCAGGATTCATTTATGCTTTAAAATTTAGTTATGCTCTGCTTTACTTTTTTAAATGAGATCTTGTGCCTAGGAATATACATGGCAGGAACAGACACACAAAAATACACAAGAAAGTACTATGGTAAGCAGAATAAAACATGTAATCCTTCATCTTAAGGTAATCAGGCCAGGTGGAGATGGAAAGCCTTCGTTATTGACTGCTAGCTATGCTCCTACACTTAGGGTAATCCTGAGATGGAGAATGAAACACAGGAGGCATCAAAGGAGAAAGTATTGTAGCAATGAGTGACATGAGCTACCTTTACCTAAGTATAAATGAATCTTCATATAATAGTAAAGAAAACCTAAATTACTGCTTCCTGGAGAGTGAAGTCAAGTGGGCCTTAGAAAGCTTGTCTAACAACAAGGCCAGTGGAGGTGATGGCATTCCAGTGGAACTATT